TAGGAGGCATTTGGACAAATGAGTAATAGATTGCTAACATTTAATAATCATAGCTAACACTTAGCACTTATGACAAGTTCTAAACAAACACTGCAACACAATAGTCTTAATATTTAAAGTACCATATGAGTAAATGCTATTATTGTCTTTATTTACAGCTAACAAGACAGATACAGACAGTTAAGTAATTTCCTCACAGCCACTATCAACTCAGGTGGTCTCTGGCCCCAAAGCTTAGGCTCTTTGTCATTATCTCATTTGTTTAATTTCTGCCTCTTGTATTAGAATAAAACCATGCACACTGGAACTGCATTGGTGTTCTTCACTGTGCTTACAGTTTTTAACAAATCAATGAATAACTGAACTAGAAGAAATAGTGGATGAAATTATGTATAGGCTCAAGAGATACTCTGGATGTAGTATTGGTGATTGTAATATTGTTTGAAACAATGGACCTTGGTAACTGTTACGGAGTGAATGTTTGACTTCCCAGCAAATTCATATGTTGAAGCCCTAACCTCCAGGGAATCCTTTAATGAAGTAGTTACGGTTAAATGAAATAATACAGGAAGGCCATAATTTAATAGGATTGGTGTCCTTCTAAGAAGAGGACAGATCAGAACTCTCTTGCCATCTCTATACATGTCCTGACAAAAGGCCATGTGAGGACATGGAGAGACTGCAGCCATCTACTAATTAAGAAGAGAGCCCTCACCAGAAACTCAGTTGGCCAGAACCTCAATCTGGGACTTGCAGTCTCTAGAATCATGAGAAAATAAATTTCTATTGTTTAAATCCACCCAGTCTGTAGTATTTTGATGTGGCAGTCCAATAAGACAATGAATAATAGGATGAGGGTGGGAGATAAAGAAGAGATGTCTAAACTAGGGGACTGGAGGGACAGTAGATGTCACTAATTGGGATACAGGCCTTTGAAAAAAAAGAGGAGATATTTGTTGTAGTTAATGCAAAACCACTAATTATTGTGTAGTTAGGGTTCATTTCACTCAAACATAGAAATAAAGAAGTTAGCTATTTAAAACCAGTTACTCAATAAATGAATATTTATCATTATATCCCATAACATTGGTGGCCCTGTCCTTTTCCTGCAACTACAAAGTAAACAGCATTCTCTGCTCTCGAGGTACTCATAGTCCAATGGAGAGAATACTGTTCTTTTCTGTGAAGCCAGCATGCCAAATAGAAAAGCCGTTCTCCCTCTCCTCGCTTCTAAAGAACTGCAACTCATATAAAGTATACAGATAAAATCTTATGTGGACAAAGAATTTTAGAGTCACGTGATCTGGATTTGACTCTGGGTCTTAGAATACACTGGCTGAGTGATGACCTCAGGTAGACTAAATAATCCTGCAGAGATTTTCAAAGGATCAAAGGTGAATAGAAACATTTCATAAAGTGCAATATGAACATTAGCAACCATTTTAATTATAAAAGCTACACTGCTAACTCACAAACCAGAGGTGAATCAGCCATGGGTAGTAAGTCAGAGGTGAAAAGGCTAGCTTTGTAAGTGGCAGGAATTCCAGGTGGGAGGAAAAAGACTAGAGTAGCAGGGGTAAAATAATAGGCTTTGGGGGCTCCTATAACGTAGGTCAATCATAACTCAGTCAGTTACTAGCTATGGAAAGTGGAGCAAATCATGTTATTCATCAGAGCTAGTTTCTTCATCTGTAAAATGGAGTTAATATTTATGCAGAAAGGTTGTTCTGAGTATGTAAAGGGCTTGGTGAGATGCGTGGCAGAGCTGTTGCTCAATTAATGGTTACTGTTGCTCCTTTTAATATAATCATTTTCCTCTTCTACCTTCTAAGGTTTTTTTTTTTTAGGTGGTGAAGTTATTTGACATGCAAGAAGTAAGGGAAAAGTACGAGCTATTATAAGCTCTAAAAGCTAATTTTAAAGTAAAGGAGTTTAACCATAGCTTCTCCTAAACCATGGTGCAAACATAACTCAAACCACTATAGCATATGCCTTGCAGCCTGGTATAATCAGCTTGATAGTTATTCCTTGTCTTCTATCTGAAGTAAATATACAAAGCACTTAAAAGTTCTCTAAAGATGATGCCTCTCAAACTTTAATATACACTAATATACACATCAGACACCTGAGGGCTTGTTAAAAGGCACATTTTTTTTTTTGATACCAGGGATCGAACTTGGGTTCTTGAGCTAAATCCCCAGCTCAAGACGCACATTTTCATTCAGTAGATTTAGGGTGGGGCATGATACTCTGCATTTCTAATCACCTTCCAAGTGAGGCTAAAAGTCATGGTTCATGGACTACACTTTGAGGAAGTGGCAAGGCTCTGAAAGGACGTGGAAATATCTTGCTTGGCATGGTGTTTACTGGTTGAACTCTCTTTAGTGATCTGTCTAATGGCAGAATATTAATAGAGCACAAATTTTAGACCAGATTTAGAAATTCTTCCCGGGGACTCTTTCAGACAAACAGCAACTTTTTTGGAACAGCCTACTGTGTGCAGGACTTTGTGCCAAGTGCTGGGAACACAGAGGTTAATAAGATAGTTCCTGCTTCTGAAGAGCACTCTTACGGACACTGTATACCCCATAGATTTTAACTTCCTAGAGACAGTCTTGTTTACACTGTTGCCTAAATTGTACGGAATATACATGCTCAAGAAATACTAAATGAATGAGTGACTTCATAGGGGTTTCATTAAAAAAAAAACATCTTCTGGAAGCACATGAAAATAAAACATTTTCTTAACTGTTTGTTATCTTAGCTACTGCATATAAAAGTGATTATGTTAAAAAGAGGACATTAGATTGGGCTCTAGTCCAATCTGACTAGCATCCTATAAGAAAAAGAATTTAGATATACAAGTCAACAACAAGGATGCACTGGATAGAGGACTCATGTCAAGACACAGCAAGGCATCAATCTATAAGCCAGTGAGAAAAGCCTCACAAGAAGCCAAACATGCTGACAGCTTGATCCTGGACTCCTAGGCTCCAGAACTATAAGAGAACAACTTTCTGTTGTGTAAGCTGTCCATTCTGCATTATTTTGGTAGTTCTTGTCTAATACAGATTTTTCTTAGCTTTTATACCCAGATTCAAGACCCTATTTTTGTAGGCTACAGAAAAAAGTAAGCATAATTCTATGAATTGATGGATGAAATTCAAGAGTGCAATGGGAATTATTAATGCAAAGGTTCAGGGAAGATAGAAAGGTGTGAGATAGTAGCCAAAATTAGGTTAAATAGAGCAGCTGCCATATTCACATTTCCCTCCCTTTCACATGATATCAACACAAAGTCGAGACCTGTTCTCTCCACAGATCTAACATTGAAAGTAGCTTTTAGACTTTATTCCCTTCCTGGGTATGTTTGGATATTTAACACAATTTTAAAATATTGTGGAAGGAGGAAGACCCTAGATTTCTCTCTATGAGCCCTAAGAGTCCTTGTGAAGATAAAGAAATGAGATTTACTATTGAACAAACAAAAAAGGTATTAAAAACGAATAACTGAGAGTTCTGCTAGCTACAATGAAGGCCCAATTCGAAAGTCAGGTCATTGGTTTGTTTTTAATAAGCATATCAACTCATGTACAAATAAGTGCCCCCTTTAAAGCAGTCATTCTGGAAAATTCTACAGTTATTCTAACCACTATTCTCAAACTATAGAGTTGTTTTGGGTCTGTTAGATAATCTTCTGAATGATTTCCATGGTGACTCTTGAAAGTAGATTTGATTTTCAAAAACAACCAGGGGCTCAAGGCCAAATGTAGTAAAGTAGGGGAGCAGGCAGACATAAAGCCAAGAGGGTGTGAAAAACTATAGTAGTACATAAGATCCTAATGAGATAAATGACAATGTGAAATAGGAAGAAAAGGGCTAAAGGTGTAGGGAAAGTGGGAAGGGTAGGGGAAGGGTAATAAGGGAAAAGAAAAAATATGAGAAAATGAAAAAATAGAAATAAAGTGTAAATGGGGAGGGGAGGAGGGGGTGAAGGGAGGGCAGGAACAAGGGGAAAAAATGAGAACCAAGACCTGTCATGTAAAGGTACAAGATCCCCAAAATGAATGTAACTGTGCTGTATACCTAAAATATACCAACAAACTCAATTAAAAAAAAAAAAGCCAAGAGGATCGACTCTAAAGTATCCTAGCTGCTTTTTCTTGAGTGAGTTTGTATTCAGCCCCAGAAGGCAGTTTCTGAAGACAAACCCCAGGCAGGAAGTCACCATGTCACATACTTTGTTACAAGGTCAAGCTTGAGGTCAGGGAGAGGTAGTGACTGTGCTGAAGGAAACGCCATTCATTTGGACCTGCACGTTTTCTAGGGTCTCCTCTCTGTAGAATTATTTCCTCAGGTCCAGATCTATGATTTCATGCGGCTGGAGTTCCCAGAAGTACAAGGATTCCACCTCCTTAGCCAACTATTAATCCCCAAAGTGGGTATTTTGTGTGTTCAATGAATGGCTGATGTCAGTGGAATATGCAGAAGACTGTCTAAGGTGTCTCTGGCTTATTCTAACTCCACTCAAAGGGCAGGAGGTTCTGACGGCATACATTTCTGCTCTTGAGTAAGGAAGGTGTCAGTCACAGCTGGAGCTGTCCAGCAATGGAGTTTGCTCCGCAACCGGGAGGAGTAGAAAGCAGAATGCTTGTCATAGCGGGGCCCTTGTAACCAAAGGATAGGGAGTGCTATCTTAAGTCCAATCTACACAAAAGCTGGCCCTTAGTAGGCCCTGAAAATATACTGGTGGAATGGAATGAATGAGGAACATAGTGCTTAATGAACCAAATAGTGGGACGAAGCCTGGGGCTCAGTCAGATGCAGAGAAGGCAGGGAGAAGTGAGAGGAAAACAGCTAGCAAGCGAAGACGTAAGGCCTCCCTCACGTTTTTGGCACCTTAGAAGATAAATTGCTTTGGGCACTTGAAGCCATAGTTTTGAAAGAGCAACACCTTTGAAGGGGAAGGGAGCTGGGGGAGGAAAATGACCACTGCTCACCCTTCTTAAACTCCTCCAGCACTGTGTCCAGCCGGGTATCATTGAAGACGCAGTGTAGAGGCCGGTTGTAGAAGCGGGTGACGGTAAGGAGTGGGGTGCAGTCGTCAGGGTCCACAAAGGCCAAGTCCTTGACAAAAAGAATGTCCACAATGTTGTGTCGCTGGTCGCCCTCGTAAACGGGGATGCGAGTGTAGCCGCTTCGAAGGATCTCAGAGACGGTGGCAAAGTCGAGCACCGCATCTGAACGCAGCATGAAGCAGTCCCCGAGGGGGGTCAACACCTCCTCCACCACTTTGGTGCGCAGCTCCAGGGCTCCCTGGATGATGTTCAGCTCCTCCTTCACCAGATCGCTATAGGGGTCTGCAGCCCGCAGTGTCTCCAGTAGTTTCTCCCGCGTGTAGAAGGTGCTGATCTCCTGACGTAGCGCCCAGTCCAGCAGACGGCCCAGCGGGTAGCACACCGGGAAGGCGGCCGCCATGAGGAGGCGGGTCAGGCATACACTGTGAGAGGCGATGACCAGCCCGTGCCGTGAGCACACCGAGTATGGGCAAATCTCAGCTCCCAGGAACACGGCGCCCGTGCATAGAAGCACTGGCAGCCACGGGAAATGAACCCCCGCCTCATTGTAGTCCTCCCCGGGGTCCCCGAAACCCGGCGGCAGCGAGGCGCATAGCCAACCGGCCAGGGCGGCGTTGGCTCCGGCTTGGCCCAGGAGCAGGGTGCAAAGCAGATGGGTCCCCCTGCCGCGCACGGCCTGCA